CGTGGGGAGGTACAACTGATGCTGGGGAGACTAACATGAGAGCCATGTGAGCGCTTTCCAGAAACAGCCTGCCTTGGGCCTTGATCTTCTCCTAGCTTCTCTGAGTCAGTGTGTTCCTATCAGTACTGAGGTGGAGGAAAAGAATGCATTTGTATGATGAAGCGTTTCTGGCCTTGGATACAGAGGTCAGGTTTAAAATGGAAACCCTCTGTGAACTGTTGTTACAGTAAGTTGGAGGGTCAATTCTTTAGAAGATATTAATACAGCTGATAACGGTGTTTGTTTCTGCATAAAAAAAAAAAATTGGCTCAGCTCCAGCAGTTGCAGCCTCCTGGGGAGTGAATCACCGGACAGAAGATCTTCCTCTCTGTCTCTCCTCTCTGCATATCTGCCTTTCCAATAAAAAAAAAAAATAGAAAGTTTTTAAATTGGATTTTATTGGAAAAGCAGATAGAAAGAGATCTTCCATCTGTTGGTTCATTCCCAAATGCCACAGCAGTCAAGGCTGGGCGGAGTAGGGCCTCAGAACTTGTCTGTGTCTCCTGGGACTCAAGGACTTGGCCACCACCCACTGCCTCCCAGAGCACATATTTGCAAAAAGCTGTAATTGCAAGCAGAACCAGGACTCGAATTCAGGCACCTAAGCCGCACCATCATGGTTGTAACAAACGCCTCCCCCTTTCATCAGAACTTAAAGATTTCTAGAGATGCTGGGCACCTTCTCCCTGCCTTTCTCCTGACTGTCGTGGAATGTCTCTTCTGTGTTCCATGGAATTTCTACTATTGAACCAAGGTGGAATTCCTGGAATATATGCCCCTTGGTTGTGCTATGCTTTTTCAAAGTATGAATTCAGCTTACTAATATTTCACAAATTATTTTTATATTGACATTTACAAGGAAGACTGTTTTCTGTACTTTTATTTCCCATTATTACAAGGTGACAGGACCTGCTTAGCAATGTTTCATTGACTGTGAAGGATAACAAGCAGTGGAACATGGTGAACTTTAGCTTTGAAGTCCCACATACCTTGTACGTAAGGTAACATAAGGCTCCATACTGCACACTCCTGAAAAGAAGTGACTAAGTCAGGATTCATATTCAGTCTTGAGGAGTCTGTTGCGTAAGGGGGAAATGGCCTATGCATTACAGAATACAATCATCAGTATTGATAACTCCTCCTCATGCCCCATGTAACCTTTCACACTCATTAGTAAAATAGCCACAACATGGCTAAAATAGGAGGGTTTTTAATTCATCTTTACTATCATTGGAAAGAGTTACATAGAGAAGGAGACACAGAGAGAAAGCTCTTCCATCCACTGGTTTACTGCCCAAGTGGCCACAATGGCCAGAGATGAACTGATCCAGGAGCCAGGAACTCTTCCGGGTCTGCCACACAGGTGCAGGATCCACAAGCAGGGAGCTGGAAGAGAAGTGGGGCTGCCAGGATTAGAACCGGCGCCCTTATGCACGTGCACATACGGGTGCCAGTTCTAATCCTAACCATCCCGTTTCCCATCCAGCTCCCAGCTTGTGACCTGGGGAGGCAGTGGAGGACGGCCCAAAGCCTTGGGACCCTGCACCCACGTGGGCGACCCAGAAGAGCTCCTGGCTCCTGGCTTCAGATGGGCTCAATTCCAGGTGTTGTGATTACTTGGGGAGTGAACCATCAGACGGAAGATCATCTTGTATGTCTCCTCTTTTCCCTATATATCTGCTTTTGCAACAAAAATGAATAAATAATAAATCTTTTAATTTTTACTTTTTTAAAAGATTTATTTTATTTTTATTGGAAAGGCAGATATACAGAGAGGAGAGACAGAGAGGAAGATCTTCCGTCCGATGATTCACTCCCCAGGAGGCTGTAACTGCTGGAGCTGAGCAAATCCGAAGCCAGGAGCCTCTTGCGGGTCTCCCATGCGGGTGCAGGGTCCCAAAGCTTTGGGCCATCCTCGACTGCTTTCCTGGGCCACAGGCAGGGAGCTGAAAGGAAGCAGGGCTGATGGGATTAGAACCGGCGTCCATATGGGATCCTGGACGTGCAAGGCGAGGACCTTAACCACTGCACCATCGTGCCTGGCCCAAATAAATCTTTTTTAAAAAGGTTTTGAATAAGATCCTTTGTGCATCTCTCCCCTTTGTCTGCAGGTCCCAGCGCAGCAAGCAGCCCCAGTCCCCTCCAGCAAATTCCCTGGGCCCGGAGAGGAAGCACAGCCAGGTACAGTGGGTCAGGGAAGAGGAATAAAAGGGTCCCCGACCATGGCGGGGCGTCCGGCAGAGGAATCCTGCGTGGTGCTGATGCGCAGGGACTGACGCATGGTCACTTCCTGCGAGGTGCTGCGGCCTGCAGCCTCAGTCAGCGAAGAAACAGCAGAGGAAGAGGACGCACTGCTGGGCTCTCTGTGGGGAGTAGTTTCTCCGGCCCGAAGATGCGCTGCTGGCCCTTGAGTGGACGTTAGGGCTCGTGGACTCCAGCTGACCCTCGACCCACCTGCTGTCCACCTGCACCTGACCAGAGGAGGGCCTCGTGGTGGCCACCATGTTGGACCCACATGGGTGCCTGTGGTGCAAGAGGTGGAGTTGGTGTAGCCCCAGAGTGCCTGGTCTTTGAGCCTTGCTGAGTGTTCACAGACCGACTGGGCTTCACCAGCACCATGCGAACTCTGAGGGCAAAGGGACATCTACAAGGTAAGACCCCCAGGGCACAGGGGTCCTGGAAGGGGAGGGTGCTGCTTGGCCCTCCCGTGTGTCCAGGAGAGCAGGTGGCGGCTTGTCCTTGGGTGGGGGTCCATCTGGGGAGGGGGTGGCTTGTCCTTGGGTTCAGGGTCCAGCTGGGGAGGGTGCAGCTTGTCCTTGGGTGCAGGGTCCAGTTGGGGAGGCCATCTACAAGGTAAGACCCCCAGGGCACAGGGGTCCTGGAAGGGGAGGCAGCGGGGGAGCTTGTCCTTGGGTGCGGGGTCATGCTGGGGAGGGTGCGGCTTGTCCTTGGGTGCAGGGTCCAGCTGGAGAGGGTGCGGTTTGTCCTTGGGTGGGGGTCCAGCTGGGGAGGGGGTGGCTTGTCCTTGATTGCAGGGTCCAGCTGGGGAGGGTGCGGTTTGTCCTTGAGTGCAGGGTCCATCTAGAGAGGGCACGGTTTGTCCTTGAGTGCGGGGTCCAGCTGGGGAGGGGGCGGCTAGTTCTTGGGTTGGGGTCCATCTGGGGAGGGGGTGGCTTGTCCTTGGCTGCGGGGTCCAGCTGGGGAAGTTGCGGCTGCTTCTTGGGCTTGTACTTGACAGAAAAAGGGTTTGATCATAGGCCCCGATGTGGATCCTTGCATGCACCAGGATCCCATATGTGCACAAGTTCATATCCCGGCAATTCTGCTTCCTCTTTAGCTCCCTGCTTATGGCCTGGGAAAGCAGTCAAAGACATCCCAAAGCTTTGGGATCCTGCAGCTGTGTGGGAGACCTGGAAGAGGCTCTGGGCTCCTGGCTTCAGATTGGCACAGCACCAGCTGTTGCAGCCTCTTGGGGAGTAAACCAGCAGACGGAAAATCTTCTTGTTTGTCTTGCTCTCTGTATATCTGATTTTTTGGTAACAGTAAATCTTAAAAGAAGTTTAATTATGATCTGCAGAAGGGGAAGAAATGTTTATTGTATTGTTTGATTCTCATTCTGTCACCGTTTCTCTGGTTTCCTTACAGAGCTCTGGGGAACATGAGTGCAGTGAAGAAGTTTCCCATGAAGATGAGGAGTTTATGGGCATGTCCCCTCTCCTGCAAGCCCATCATGCTGTGGAAAGAATGGAAGAGTTTGTGTGTAAGGTAAGATGGCGGTATCCTCTCATTTCCATGCTGTGTATTTGGTCATTGTCACCAAGTAGACACCGCGAAGCAGAGTGAGTCCTTTAGCATTCAGTTTCCTATGGGAAAAATGTGTGGTAAAATGAAGGCAGGGGGAGTCTTCTGAATTGTTTTAGAAAAGTTTTACAAATAAATAGTAAAGATTTATTTATTTTTGTGTAGAAGGGAGAGTTACAGGGAGACAGAGCAAGTGAGAGAGAAGGATTTTATAGTCACCTTATTGTGTGGTGGAACCCAAAACCTCCTGCCACCTAGCTACAATCCAGCATCTATGAACCAACCTTTGCCCATCCTTCCCTCCCCACTTGCCACCCAGCTTTGGTAAGCGCAAGTAGATTTGTAGGTTTTGTGAGCGTTCTATGTTTTTAAGTCAACATGTGAGTAGATCATGTGATGTTTGTGTTACCGTGCTTCACTTGGTGTTGTCACCTAGGGTTCAGTCAAGGTGTTGTAAATGACAGCATCTCATCCTTTTATGACTGAGTTACATTTCCATGTTGACACACCCATTTTCTTTAGACTTTCATCAGTACAGGGATCCTTAGGTTGTTTCCGTGTCTTGGCTCTTGTGGAGTGCAGACAGCTCGACGGATGAATTTCATTTCCCTTTGGAATTTTCCCAGTTAGTGGAATTGCTAGATTGTATGGTGATTCTAGTTTCCAGTTGTTGAGGCAGCTCTGTACTGTTTTATGTATCATCCCACGAACAGTGTGCAAGGATTCCCTTTTCTCTATATCTTCTCCATCAGTTTTTGTAAGACAGAGTAGGGGACTGGCAGTAAGTGATGCAGTTGCCCAGAACAGCTGGCATCCCTTATGGGTGTGGTTTGTGCTCTGTGCTGATAGCCTGGGGAAGCAGGAGAGCATGACCCTATTCTTTGGGCTCTTGTACTCACAGGGGAGACCCAGACTCTTTTGGCTTAGGCCTCCATGCCATGGGGAGTGCCTGGCTCCTTTCCCAAGCCTGGCTTTCTGATAATGCTCAACATGGAAGCCTACGGGTGAGAGCTCACACAAGTTTTTTCCATGCTAGCCACATGGGAGAAGTGAATTGAGCTCATGGCTCCTGGTGTTTGACTGGTGTTGCCTGTGGTAGTTAGGTACTTTTATTCCTTGGCAAATAAACGCTTGCATTTCTCCCCTTGGGTTGCAGGGACATGTATGGCCACACAGAACTTCCCCTGGCAAGGAGAGGAAGCACAGCCGGGCACCTGGGGTCCGGGAAGAAGAAGAAAAGGGCCCCCAGTGGCGGAGGGTCCTGCGTGGTGCTGACGCGGAGGGAGTGGCTGCATGGTCACTTCCTGCGAGGTGCTGAAGCCCCGCAGCCTCAGCCAGCGAAGAAGCAGCAGAGGAAGAAGACGTACCACTGGGCTCTCCAGGGAGGAACTGTTCTCCTGCTGAAGATGCACTGTGAGCTCCGGGAGAGGACATGACAGGGCTCATGGACTCCAGCTGCCCTTTGTCCCACTTGCTGTCCACCTGCATCTGACCTGGGGAGGGCCTAGTGGTGGCCGCCATGGTGGACCCACTTGGCGCCGGCTGTGTGCCAGGTGGAGTTGGTGCCGCCCCCAGAGTGCTTGGACTTTGAGCCTCGCTGGAGGAGTTCACAGACCTACTGGGCTTCACCAGCACCATGCAACCTGTGACCAAGAACACATCTACAAGGTAAGACACCCGAAGGTCCAGGGTTCCAGGAAGGGGAGGTGGCGGCTTGGCCCTAACCCATGTCTGGGAGTGCAGGCCAGGCGGCTGCTTGTCCTTGGGTGTGGGGTCAGCTGGTGAGCCGGTGGCTTGGCCATCAGTAGGGGTGCAGGAGGGGCAGTGTCCACTTGCACTTTTGAGGGGCTTAGGGGCTTAGGAGGCTGATTCATGGCTTAGCCCTGAGTGTGGGTTCCTGGAGACCAGGCGTTGGCTTGGTCTTCAGTGCAGGAGGAAGGGTAGGCAGGGGCTTAGCCATCAGCATGGGGTCCGGGTGGGGAGGCAGTGGCTTGCTTTCTGTGTGTGGTCCAGCAGGGCTAGCCTCAGCTTGGCCCTGGGTGCTGGGTCTGGAAGTCATCCCGTGGCTTGGTCATTGGCTCGGGGTCCTTGAGGGCAGGTGGTGTGTTGGTCATTGTTGGTGTCTTTGAGCACAGGCCTGTCCTTGGGGTTATATTGGAGTCATTAAGGGCTGCTGGTGGCTTGCTGTCTTTTTGAGGACCCTGAGGGCAAGGGTAGCTTAGCGGTCAGCAGGGGTGCAGGAGGGGAGGTTGTTGCTCAGCTTCTTGCAGGGTTTACCAGGGTGGGCCGTGGTTAGCACTTAGTGCAGGTTCCTGGAGGTGAGGTTGTGTGTTGGCCATCTGCCATCCCAGGGTGTTGCTTGAGTGGTTTGGGCAGTTTTGACTTGATTGCATCAGGGCTGAGAAGATCTTTTCCAGATCCACTAACTGACCAAGTCCACCTTAGTGCATCCACAGACCCAGGCACTTGCTGCAAGCTTGGCCAGGAGAATGGTCTGTTCTGTTCTGCTTTCCATTTTCTGCTGTGGCACATCCCCATCTGGCTGAGATGAGCTGGCTGCCCTGTCCCCCATGTGCAATGGGGCACACTGTCCAAACATGGCACAGGCCTCAGCACCTGAACAGGCCCAGTCCCCATTCTTGTGCTTTCATGAGTTTGTTTCTTTGCTTTTGAGTAAGCTAATGCTTGTTGTTTTGGATTCCTTTTAAGACAACTTACCAATCTCTTGTAACAAGAGAGGAATGGAGGGAAAGAGAGAAGCAATGAATTGGATGCCAAGTGTAGCAGCCGGGACCTGGAACTGTCAGCCCTATGGGATCCCAGTGCTTGCAAGGTGAGGATTTAGCCATTGAGCCATTGTACCCTGGATCTCTCTCTCTCTTTTTGTAAAAATCCACTTATTTCTGTTGGAAAGAGTAACACAGAGAGAAGGAGAGACAGAGATCCTCCATCCATCATCAAATTTGCCAGATGACCATAATAGCTGGGGCTGAGCCAGTCTTTCTGGGTCTCCAGTCTTTCTGCATGAATGCAGGGGACCAAGGACTTATCCGTTCTTTATTGCCTTCACAGCCACAAGCTGGGAGCTGGATGGGCAGTGAAGCAGCCAGGACACCAGCTGGCACCTGAGTGGTATGCCTGCGCCACAGGTGGAAGCTTAGCCTACTGTGCCATAATGCTGGCCCCCAATTTATCACATTTTAGTTGAGTTTTTGATTAAGTCAATTATTCCAGTGATTTGTCTTCACTGAAAATTTCATTCTCTCTCTTGTTCCCTGTAGGAGTGGTTTTGTAGAGATAAGTAGTGAAATGTCAGAGTTTCTGCTAATATTCTGGTTCAAGTGTGTGCGAGGGCTAGTGTTGTGGCACAGTGCGCTAATCTACCATCTGTAGTGCCGACATCCCACATGGCCATGTTGCTGTTTCCTGGAGTTATCTTTGCTGTTCACTCCAGACCAGCTGCTTTTAAGGTCAGCTATTAGCCTAGACCCTCTGGGGCTTTCCTTTTGCTTCTTCCTTTGTTGCAAGTCTTTGTTTTCCTTGGTTTATGATGTTTTTGCTGGATGGTTTCTTCTAGTATAATGAGAAAGAAGGTCAGTGGGAAGTGAATTAGAAACTTGGTTCGGGGCCTGTGTGGTGTCGTGGATGAAACTGCCGCCTGTGTTGCCAGTGTGAGTCCTGACTGCTCTGCCTTCATGCAGCTGCCTGAGAATGACCTGAGTGGAAATGGTGAAGATGGCCCAGTTCCTTAGATCCCTGCACCCATGTGGAGGCCCAGGCGGAGTTCCAGCTTCTGGCTTTAGCCTGGCTGTTGTGGGCATCTGGGGAGTGGACCAGTGGATGGAAGAAACGTGTCTGTCTCTTCCCTGTGTGTTGCTTTTAGTTTTCAAATACACACATACATGCCTATTTTTCGTCAAAAGAATCTTGGTTTTGTGGAGAGCTTTTGTCCTTAGTTTGGTGATGTTTAGAAATTGAAATGATGTGAGCCTGAGTTGGTTTCATGATGAGTAGAGCTGCTGCCTGCACAGCCGCCAGCCCGTTGCTCAGGTCCTGGCTGTTGTACTCCATGCAACCCCTGCTGATGGCCTGGGACAGTCAGCGGAAGAAGGCGGAGGTTCTTGAGCCCTTGTCGCCTGTATGGGGGACCTGGATGAAGCTCCTGTGGATGGAAGAGCTCTTCTCATTTCACTTTCAAATAAGAGTATACATTTTAAAAATTCAATTATGGACCGTTTTAGTTCAGTAAAATGATGTGGAAGCTTATTTGTTTCTTTGTTTCTATTATTGCTGCTGCTGAGAGTGTATGTTAATTCTTATTGCATTGTGATTTATGTGAGCGGCAGAGAATCAGCAACAGGGAGATGTCCCTTCCACTGAACGCTGTCCACATGTCTGCAGTTGTTAGCGCAGGGCCCAGCCACATCCAGGAGTCAGGAACTCAGGCTGGGTTTCCATGCGAGTGGAATCTGGCAGCTGAGCCTCATCTGCTGCCTTTTATGTTACATATCCTGAAGAATTTAGTTAGATACAGAAATTAGTCTGTTCTTCAAACCAGGCAAGAGGTACAAATTGAGTAAATCTGTTAAATGTCTAGTTTCAGTGTAGGCACTCTAACATGAATTAAACTTTAGCGTTTAAAACTTTGGAGAGGGGGTCCAGCATGGTAGGCTAGTGGCTAAGTCTTTTCTTTCACTGTGCCATGATCTCATATGGGTGCGAGTTGTACTCCTGTTAGCTTTGCCTCCCATTCCCTTGCTTGTGGCCTGGGAAAGCAGTCAAAGACGGCCCAAAGTTTTGGGACATTGCACCCACATGGGAGACCCCCGAGGAGGCTTCTGGCTCCTAGCTTTAGACTATTGGCTCAGTTCTAGGCTGTGGCAGCCTTGTATAAAGTGAATCAATGAACAGAAGATCTTCTCTGTCTTTTCTCCTCTCTGTGTATCTGACTTTGCAATAAAAGTAAGTAAACCTTAACAAACAAACAATAAAAAAAGCCCTTGAGAGGGACTGGCATGACGACTCCATGACTAAATGCTCACCTGGAAGAGCCAGGATCCCTTGTGGTTGAGTGTGTGTCCTGGCAGCCCTGCTTCCCATCTGGCTCCCAGCTTGTGTTCTGAGAAAGAGGAAGAGGGTGGTTCAGAACTTTGGGACCTTATCCCCCTGTGGGAGAGTCAGAAGAAACTTCTGGCTCGCCTCAGCTGTGGCCATTATGGCCACTTGGGTGATGAAGCAGAGGATGAAGATCTTTTCTGCCTCTCTTTCTCTTTGAATCTGTTCTGCCTTTCCAAAAAATGAAGTTTTTAAATTAATTTATTCTTTTGGAAAGTGAGATATAAATAGGGAAGGAGAGACAGAGGGAAAGATCTCTGTCTGCTGGTTCACTCCCCAAGTAGCTAAAATGGCCAGAACTGAGCCAATCTGAAGCCAGGAGCTTCTTACAGGTCTCCCATGTGGGTGCAGCATCCCAAGGCTTTGGGCCATCTTTGACTGCTTTCCCAGGCCACAAGCAGGGGAGCTGGATGGGATGTGGAGCAGCCAGGACATGAACCAGTGCTCATATAGAATCCTGGCGTATGCAAGTTGAGCACTTTAGGCACTAGGCTATCACTCTGGGCCCAAAGATAAATAAATCATTTTTAAAAGATTGTTGATTTATATTACAAAGTCAGATATGCACAGAGGAGGAGAGACAGAGAGATGTTCTGTCTGATGATTCACTCCCCAAGGGACCACAAAGCCTGGTGCTACATGACTGAAGTCCAGAATCCCACGCCTCTTCCAGGTCTCCCACGTGGGTGCAAGATCCCAAGGCTTTGGGCCATCCTCAACTGCTTTCCTAGGCCACGATCAGGGAGTAGGATGGGAAATGGGGCTGTCGGGATATGAACATGCACCCATATGGTATCCCGGCTCCTTCAAGCCACTAGGCCAGTGTGCTGGGTCCAAGAAATCAATCTTAACAACAAATGCAACAAAGAAGCTTCAGTAATCATTGTCTGATTTTTTGTTTGCCTGTAAACATTACAGATGTTACCTTTGTAATTTATTTGTGGAACTCTAAAATCCCAGCCCAGAGCAATTTATGTATTTATGAGATAATGCTTGCCTCTACTTAAATAATAATTTTTACTCTTTTTTTTTTTAATCTAGATTGTTGCCAGCAAAGGAGGTTTTGAAATGGTCAGCGAAGAAAAGAAATGGTCCAAAGTCGATATCTGCTTGGGATATCTGCCAGGAAAAGAAACTGGATCTCTCTTCAAAGTCTCACTAGGAAAGAATTCTCTACTCATATGAGCTGTTCCAGTCTGGTGGAGTCAGTCTTATGGTGAGTTGCTGCATTGTTCTTAGAAGTGGATCAATTGGTCATGGCGTGGTGGCCTTGTGGCCAAATTCCCCACCTTTCATGCACCAGGATCCCATATGGGCACCCGTTTGTGTCCCAGCTGCTCCACTTTCCCTTCCAGCTCCCTGCTTGTGGCCTGAGATGGCCGAAAGCCTTGGGATCCTGCACCCACATGGGAGACCTGGAAGAGGCTCCTGCTTTCTGGCAGCTCAGCTGTGGCTGTTGTGGCCTTTTGAGGAGTGAACCTGCGGATGAAAGATCTTTCTGTAAATCTGGCTTTCCAATAAAAATGAAACTTGTTGGGGGAGAATGTGTTAAAATTATTTTTTGTTGGAAAGGCAAGTTTAGAGAGAAAGAGAAAGCTCTTACATCCATTGGTTCACTCTCCAAGTGGCCGCAGTGTCCAGAGTTGAGGTAGTTCGAAGCCAGGAGCCAGGATCTTCCGGGATTCCCACATGGGTGCAGGGTCCCAAGGCTTTGGGCCATCCCTGTCTGCTTTCGCAGGCTACAAGCAGGGAGCTGGATGGGAAGCTGGAGCAGCTAGGGCCTGAATGGTGCCCATATGGGATCCTGGAGCGTGCCAGTTAGGGATGTAACTGCTAGACTGCTGTGCTGGGCCCCACTTGATTTGTTTTTATTGGTGAGTAATATTCCCTTGTATGTGTGTACCTTATTGCTTGTTTACTAGTTGATGAACAGTGGATAGTGTTTGGCTGTTAGGAAGAATAATATGCCTGTTCAGGTATAACACTTCATGTGGGCATATGTGTTCATTTCTCTTAACAGAGTGGAATTGCTAGGTGTTGTGTTACATTTATATTTATTAAGAAGAAAACTGTCAGAATGTTTTTCAAAATGTCTGAGCATTTTTACATTCCGCCCAGTAATGTAGAGGCTTGAGGTTTTTCCATTTCTAGGCAAACACGTGTTGTCACTTGTTTTGGTTATGCCATTGTATTAGGTATGCACTGGTATTCTCTTGTAGTTCTCATTTGCATTTTCCTAAAGGCTACTGATGATGCTTTGCATTGTTTAATGTTCATGTTAGTTGTGTGTGTATCTTCCTGAATGAAGTGTTTGTTGGGTTGGCTTTGTATACTTGTAAGAGTTTGTTATACTAAATACAAGTGCTTAATCAGAGACATGATTTGCAAAAACTTTATTCTTGTCTTTAATTCGTGTTTTCATTTTTCTGATAGTATCTGCTTGAAGAATGGTTTGTAGATTCCTGTTTTCCTTTGATGGATTGTAGTTTTCGTATCATTTAGGAAGCATTTTCCTTATTTATGACTATAGTCATTTTTTTTTTCCTCCATGTAGAAGTTCTGTGGTTTTAGGTTTATTTACAAAGCATTTCCTTTTGAGTTGACTTATTCCCTTATTTTCATTTTATTTGAAAGAGAGGAGAAGAAGGTTCCATGTGCTGGTTCCCTCCCAGCCAGGGTAAAGCCAGGAACTCAATCCAGATTTCCTTTGTGGGTGGCAGGGATTCAGGTACTTACATAGTCATCTGTTGTCTGCCAGGCAGGGAGCTGAGTTAGGAGTGGCACTGGGACTTGAACTCAGGCACTGGCGTGTGGGGTGTGGGTCTCACAAGTGGGGTTGTAACTATTGGCTTTCACACTGAAGTTGATGGTGCAGCTTGCACTGTTTCTTTGTGTGTGTGTATAAAATGTGAGGTACATAGGCAGGTTAGTTTTTGGGGATGGAGGGCATATGGATATTCAGTTGTGATGAGCACTGTGTAAACAGCATTGTTTTTCTGTTGATTTAACTAGGCTAGCTGTATTGAGATTCAGCTGACCGTGAATGTACAGTATTCTTTCTGAACTGTTTTTTTGTATTGGATTGTGATGGTCTTCCCTTACCCCCAGGCGTATGCAGGTTGACTTCCTAAGTGGCCACAATGGCTGTAGCTGAACTGATGCAAAGCCCAGAGGCAGGAGCCTCTTTCAGGTCTCCCTCATGGGTGCAGGTCCCAAAGGCTTTCTAAGGCCGCAAACGGGGAGCTGGATGGGAAGTGAAGCAGCCAGGACACCAACTGGTGCCCATATAGGCTCCTGACACATGCAAAGTGGGGATTTAGCCACTGAGCCATAGCATCAGCCCCCCGCCCCCCATATTCTCTTATTTTATAAAAATGATCCCAAAATACAACAGCAGTGATGTTGGTAATTTGGAAATGCTTGTGAGAAGTCATAATGTGTTTTCTCTCACAGGAAAAATGAAATGAAAATAAGATATTTTTTTGATCAATGACCACATTCTCCTAAGTCTTATGATAGTATGTTATTGTGTTTATTCTATTTAATATTTTTTAATCTGATACTGTACCTAATGTATAAACCAAACTTTTGTAGAAAAATACTATAACTTGTATTTCAGACATCCTTTGGTGTTGTTGGAATACCTACTCTGTGTTGTGGTCCTACTGTATGTGTCTGTGCAGATCTCAGTAACACACTACTTTGAGCACTGTAGCTTGAAAGTAACTTTGGTGTTTGTTAGTGGGAATTACGGTTTTTCCAAGTTTCCCAGCCATTTAAGCTTCCACATGAATTTTAGAATGATGTTTGAATTTCTACCCAATAAAAAAATTCTGACATTTTGATAGGGATTTGCCTTTTGTCTGTAGATGAAATTGTAGTGGAATTGTCATCTGGTTTCATGAAGTTTTAGAAGGTTTATTGGGAATGTGTTGTTCTCCACTGTTTGTCAAACCTGATTTTGCTCAGGAAACACTTTCTGTGCTCTCGTCTTTTAGGGAGTGCTGACACCTAATTTAGATCTTAAGGAAAAAGTGGAACCTGATTCTTCTCACTGATACCCAAACTTCCCCCGAAGCTGGCACCAGGATGCATCATTGGCCAAAGAGAACAAGACGCCTAAAATCTCAGGTATCAGTGTCCATAAGCCATTTTTCCCAAGAGTTTTGGTTTCATTGACTCTTTTTTATTATTATTACACTGCATTATGAGACACAGTTTCATAGGCTCTGGGATTCACCCGGCCCCTACCCATACCGTCCCCCACATGGTGGATTCCTCCACCTTGTTGCAGTATTACAGTTCAAAATCAGTCAAGATTCTTTCATTGCAAGCATATACCAAGCATACAGTCCAGCATCTTATTGTCCAGAAAAATTCTACGGTTTCTTGGGGAGACTATCTCTGGTCTGAAGGCAGAGCTGGCAGAATATCATCCCAATCAACTAAAAGCCCAACATAACATCAACAGCAATTTACATCATTATGGAATTAATTGATGTGGTATTGAGTAACCAATATGTTAAAAATACAAGTTCTTAACCTCATCCTGTGATTATTTCATTGAGTTTCAATTTTAGTTTATATACATCGGCTTCTATAAACCTTAAAATGGCTATAGGGTACAATTCAGCTGTCTTGTGTCTATGTTCATTTTAGTATTTAGCAGTGTATTGTGTGTAAAGCATAATTTTGCTGACCTTGGCAGATTTTAGGATAGTCTAAACTGGCTTATAACTCTAATAAGACATATGTCAGCAGTTGAGCTATAAAACAGTTTTAGGATGGGTGTGCACAGCAATCTTCTATACCTTAGTGAGGAGTAACTAATCTTTGTGTCTAGGCTAGTAAGGTATGTGTGGGTCCATGCTGACCATTTCCTCCTGGTTCTAAGTTTTCCTTGTTGTTCTCTATCTATTCTATTCCTTGGATGCACATCTACATTGTTTCCATGGTTATGGGAGGCCATTCATGTAATGTTTGAAACTTTAAGAGATACTGTCTTTTCTTTGGGATGGGTTGGAGAAGAAATTGTGAAAATCCTTCTAATCTGATTTAGAAGGCTGTATGAATTCTGAAGTGGGCTGAGTGGGAGAACCTGGGAAACTCTCCTAGTGGGTCATAACTCTCACTGATGATCACATGCTCCAGGCCTGGGGTCGGGCAAGCTGAGTAAAGTAGCTCCAACTGTTGGCTAATGTGTGGATAGTGCATGGAAAGGGTGGACTGGGCAGGGCTGAGCAAGCCTAGGCTCACCAGCAGGAACAGAAATCAGGCTGGAGCACAGGGCATGACAAGCTAGGCTCCTACATCGACTGGTTTTCATGATGCAGGGATGCCAAGCCACAGAATCTAAGGCAAAGGCGAGGATAGGTGAGGGGCTATGCCAAGCTGGATTAGAGCAACCACTGGCACATGTGTGATGTATGGCTGGGGACAGGCATGTTTGGGTAGCTAAGAGGACACCCAGGCTGTGTTAGGGCTCCTATTGGTGTGTGCTGGAGCCGGATTGGGGGCTGTGTTCTGGTTTGGATATGGCTGCAGTGTCCCTTGGCACAAGTGTGGATTGGGGCTGGCTGCACTGAGCCGGACTAGACTCTAGTACTAACGGGTACTCTGGAGGACCAAGGTAGAAGTAAGATGGGCTATGCTAGGTCTCTGCCACTGCTGAGCCATGTGTGAGCTATGTCTGAGTGAGGATGAGCCTTGGCTGGGCTGAAACATCCAAGAGTAAGAACCAGAACAGGTTGAATACCAATCCAGAACGGCCACTGTTCCTGCTATGACAGGAGGTGGACTAAGCAGAGCTGGCTCATGGACCCACTGGTGTGTGCAAGATCTGGCACTGGGAGAGGTTCTGATTGGGGAGCCTAGAAAACTCCCCTGTCAGAACAGAGTTCCTGCAGGTGAGGGCAAGAACCATGATAGGGAGCAGCACAGACCAGGTAGGGAAAGGTACCCACGGGCATACATTTGGCATAGGTGGGGGCAGACAAGAGTGAACCTGTTCACATCAGCCACCTGCAAATCAGAGCACTGGAATAGAGTGTGGGTGGGACCGGGTTCAGTTGCAACACATACCAGTATGCACAAGGGCTAGGACTAGGTGCCAGCTGGGCTGGGCTAGGCTGCAAACCGCACAAACAGGAGCTGGATTTGGAAGTGGGGGTGGGCCAGGCTGGGCCAGGTGACAGTACCTACTGGCAAATGCTGAGATGAGGCAGGCCACGACAGACTGAGCCATAGCATTCAACTAGGACACATGAGAAACAGGGGGCAGGGTACAAAGCTGGTATGGGGAATGTGGAGTGCTCCACTGCTGGACCACCACTCCCATTGGAGAGCGTGAGTTGGGATAGGGGCAGACCAGACTGGGCAGGGTTACAACATAAGTGGGCCTCATGTGAGCTAGATCAGGGAAAAATCAGGCTGAGCTGACTTTGTACTGGTGCAAGCATAAATCAGAGTGGGTGAGGGTTGGTTGGGCTTTTTTGCAGCATCAGCTGGCAGAGGCTGGCACTCGGGGCTAATTCTGTCAAGTTAAACTGCAGAAGCACCTGGAGAATGCATGATCCGGGAGTGGGAGTGGGCCCATAGGGAAACAGTGGGCACCTCCCTCTTGGGTTACCACTTCCACTGGAGAGCGTGAAAACCAGGACTGTGGCAGACGTGGCTGGACAGAATGGCACCCAGCAGAATGTGTGTGGGCTGGATAGTGGGGCTGGATTAGTTCAACTAGGCTTCAATGCCCATTGATATGTATGAGAGCTGAATGGGATGTGTAACGGACTGGGCCAGTCTACTGTACATACTGGCAAGCACGGGAACCAGGGCAGGGGGCAGGCCTGTTGGGGGTTATTGCGCATTGCTCAGACTAGGCTGCAGCTCCCACTGGTCTATGTGAAGGCCAAGTGTGTGTTGAGCAGGATCAGGCTGGACTTCAACACCCATTGGTTGTTGTTGAAGATAGGGTTGGAAACAGAGCTGACTCAGCAGTTGCAACCACATTTATTTCTATGAGTACTTTTTGTATTTTTCCAAGTATAAGTATTCTGCTTTTCAAAAATTTGTCCTCCTAGTATCCTTTTTTATTGTGAGTGTTTTATTTTATGAAATTACTATTGGGAGGAAGGGCCTGGCATTGTGACCTAGCAGGTACAGATGTGGCCATGATGTTGGCAGTCCACATGGGTGCCCTTTCAACTCCCATAAGTCTAGTTCTGATCCAGCTCCTTGCTACTGGCTGACATAGCCTAAGGACTTGGGCCCTTTCTACCCTGTGGGAGACCTAGGTGAAGTAATGGGGAGTGAACCAACTGTGCTTCTCGCTCTCTGTTTAACTTTTGAAATAAGCACATCTCCCATTAATGTCTACAGTGGCAGAGACAGTTAATCCTAAGAGAGGGGTTGGAGTCCGAGAAGGTGTCTTGGTTCAGCAGAGCTAAGGGCGCTGGGTGCCGACTGACAGGTGGATAGACTTGGGAAAGGGAGTTGTTGCTAAGGGGGTTTATCCGGAGGAGCTAGCAGCTTGAGTGGAACTTGCCAGAGATAAGAGGGAATGTCAGATAGTCCTGGAGTTGACTTGCAAGGTGGATGGAAGAAGATGGATAAAGACATTAGGCTGTTTTTATTTTTTAAGATTTATTTTATTTTTATTGTAAAGTCAGATATACAGAGAGGAGGAGAGACAGGAAGCTCTTCCATCCACTGATTCCCTCCCCAAGCAGCCGCAACAGCTGGAGCTGCACTGATCTGAAGCCAGGAGGCAGGAGCTTCTTCTGGGTCTCCCACGTGGTTACAGAATCCCAAGACTTTAGGCCATCCTCGACTGCTTTCCCAGTTCAGAAGCAGGGAGCTGGATGGGAAGCAGGGCTGCTGGGATTAGAACCGGCACCTGTATGGAATCCCGACGTGTATAAGAAGAGGATTTTTGGTGCTAGGCTATGGTGCCAGTGCAACATTAGGTTGTTAATGGCATGGTAATGGTTACCATGCAAAGTGGATTTGCAAACTTTTAAAATGTTGTATATCATTTTGTTAAAAGAATATCTTGGGCGCTGGGCATGTAGCCTAGTGATTAAAATCCTCACCTTGCCCGCACCAGGATCCCTTTTAGGCACCGGTTCTGATCCAGGCAGCCCTGCTTCTCATCCAGCTCCCTGTTTGTGGTCTGAGAAAGCAGTTGAGGGCAGCCCAAAGCCTTGCATCGTGTGGGAGACTCAGAAGAATCTCCTGGCTCCTGTCTCCTGGCTTCGGATTGGTGCCACAGCTCTGGTGGTTGCGGCCACTTGAGGAGTTAATTAACAGACAGAAGATCTTCCTCTCTGCCTCTCCTGCTCTCTGTATATCTGACTTTCCAATGAAAATAAATAAGCATCTAAAAAAGGAATATCTTGTGCAGAATCTTAGCATATAAAATGGAAAATGAAGCACTGAAAATTGCTGTGGGTGATTAAATTGTTCATGCTTAAGTGAGGGGGAAGGCTGTGATCTAGTTTTAGAGCAGGCCTGGTATATTATCTGTTTGCTATAAGTATTGATGGAATGGAAAAAGAATCTCTGCAAAATAGAAAATTTATTTTGCTTGCCATATAGGTGAGAATCACAAAGACAGAAATGCAAGGCCAGCTGAGAGATAACAAAACATGAAGAACATTGGTCTGGCCACGGTAGCCTAGTGGCTCAAGTCCTTGCTTTGTGCACATCTGGATCCCATATGGGCACCAGTTTGCATCCTGGTTGTTCAAACTCCCTTCCAGCTCCCTGCTTGTGACCTGGGAAAGCAGATTAGGATGGCCCAATGCCTTGGGACCCTGCACCTGAACGGGAGACCCAGAAGAGGTCCTGGCTGCTGGGTTCAGATTGGCTCAGCTCCCGCCATTGAGGTCATCTGTGGAGTGAACCAGTGGATGGAAGATTTTTTTCTCTGTCTCTCCTTTTTTCTGTAAGTCTGGCTTTGAAATAAAAATAAATAAATCTTAAAACCATTAAAACAGCGGGTATATAGAATAGCAGTATGGAAAGTGTTATTGATCTTAAGTTT